TGGGAATTTTTTGGGATTTTTGGGATTTTTTATTCTGAATTTTTGGGATTTTTTTCTGAATTTTTGGGATTATTTTTGGGGAATTTTTTCTGAATTTTTGGGATTTTTTTCGGAATTTTTTGGGGTTTTTTTCGGGGAATTTTGGGGATTTTTAAATGAAATTTTGGGAATTTTTTATTCTGAATTTTTGGGATTATTTTTGAATTTTGGGGAAATTTCTTTCTGAATTTTTGGGGTTTTTTTTCGGGAGATTTTTGCGGTTTTATTTTGAATTTTGGGGAAATTTTTTCTGAATTTTTAGGGTTTTTTTTTGAATTTTGGGGATTTTTTAATGAATTTTTGGGGAATTTTTTTCTGAATTTTGGGGAATTTTTACTCTTAATTTTTGGGATTTTTTTTAATTTTTGGGGATTTTTTTAAACTTTGCGGAATTTTTTTCTGAATTTTGGGGATTTTTTTTTTTATTTTTGGTTTTTTTCCTGGGGAATTTTTGGGGTTTTATTTTGAATTTTTGGCAGTTTTTTTCTGAATTTTTGGGAATTTTTTTCTGAATTTTGGGGAAATTTTTGGGATTTTTTTTTTTGAAATTTTTGGGAGTGAGGCCACCGGGAGCAGCGTCGGCGTCGGGATACACGGTGAGAGTTTTTGGGAATTTTTTTGGGGATTTTTGGGAATTTTTTATTCTGAATTTTTGGGATTATTTTTGGGGATTTTTTTCTGAATTTTTGGGATTTTTTTCGGAATTTTTTGGGTTTTTTTTCGGGGAATTTTGAGGATTTTTAAATGAATTTTTGGGGAATTTTTTCTGAATTTTTGAGGATTTTTTTTCTGAATTTTGGATTTTTTTTCTGAATTTTTTGGGGGATTTTTTTCTGAATTTTTGGGGAATTTTTTCTGAATTTTGGATTTTTTTTCTGAATTTTTGGGAATTTTTTTTGAATTTTTGGGGATTTTTTTTAAATTTTGGGGAATTTTTTCTGAATTTTTGGGAATTTCTTTTTTAATTTTTGGGAATATTTTTCTGAATTTGTGGGAATTTTTTCTTAATGTCTGGGGATTTTTTCCTGAATTTTTGGGGTTTTATTTTGAATTTTGGGGGTTTTTTTCTGAATTTTTTGGATTTTTTTCTGAATTTTTGGGATTTTTAAATGAATTTTTGGGGATTTTTTTCTGAATTTTTGGGATTTTTTTCTGAATTTTTGGGGGATTTTTTTCTGAATTTTTTAGAATTTAATTTTTAATTTTTCAGATTTTTTTTTTTTAATTTTGGGGAATTTTTTTTTTATTTTTTGGGAATTTTGGGGATATTTTTTTGAAATTTTTGGGGGTGAGGCCACCGGGAGCAGCGTCGGCGTCGGGATACACGGTGAGGGGTTTTGGGGGTTTTGGGATTTTTGGGAATTTTTTCTGAATTTTTGGGATTATTTTTGGGGAATTTTTTCTGAATTTTTTGGGTTTTTTAAAATTTTTTTTAGGATTTTTTTTCGGATTTTTGAGGGATTTTTTTTTAATTTTTTTGGATTTTCTTTTTAATTTTGGGGGATTTTTTTCTGAATTTTTTTGGAGTTTTTTCTGAATTTTGGGATTTTTTTTGGATTTTTGGGGAAATTTTTTTCTGAATTTTGGGGATTTTACTTTTAATTTTTGGGAATTTTTTTCTGAATTTTTTGGATTTTACTTTTAATTTTTGGGAATTTTTTCTGAATTTTTGGGATTTTTTCTGAATTTTTGGGATTATTTTGGGGGAATTTTTTCTGAATTTTTTGGGATTTTTTTTAATTTTTGGGATTTTTTTTCTGAATTTTTGGGAATTTTTTTCTGAATTTTTGGGGATTTTTTCGGGGCATTTTTGGGAATTTTGGTGGGTTTTTTTCTGTGAATTTCGGAGTTTTTTTAGGAATTTTTGGGGGGGATTTCGGAGTTTTTTGGGAATTTTGGGGGGTTTTTTTTGGGAATTTGGGGGGGGTTTTTTTGGGGATTTTGGGGGGATTTTTTTGGGATTTCGGGGGGTTTTTTTGGGAATTTCAAGGGGCTTTTTTTGTGAATTTTGGGGGTTTTGGGGGCGTTCGGGTGAGTTTTTGACCCACCTCGACCAACTCTTGACCCCCCCAACCCCAAATTCCCCCAAATTTTCCCCAAATTCACCCAAATTTCCCCAAAATTTCCCCGTTTCCAGACATCTGCCCCATCCCGACCCCCCGCGTCACCCTCCTGAGCGACCCCACAACCTCTGACTCCAAGAATTCCGACAACTCCGACGTCCTCCTCCTCTGCCTCGTCGAGGGGCGGGGCTCCGACCACGCCCACGTCACGTGGCTGGCCAAGGGGGAGGAGCTTAAGGTGGACCAGGAAGTGGCCACCTGCGAGGGCCACGCCCTCAGCAGCCGCGTCAACGTCAGCCGGAAGCTCTGGGATTTGGGGGCCACCTTCACCTGCCGGGTGGCCCTGGACGGGCTGGAGGGGACGGTGGAGGACTCCATCAGCACCTTCTGCTCCGGTGAGGAACAAAAATCTGAATTTTGGGGGGGTTTGGGGAAAAAAAATTGGGATTTTGGGGCGTTTTTTGCGAAAAAATTGAGTTTTTTCGGGCGTTTTTTGACCAAAAGTTGAGTTTTTTCGAGTGGTTTTTGACCAAAAATTGAGGGGTTTTTGAGGTTTTGGCCCAGAAGTTGAGGGGTTTGAGTGGTTTTGACCCCAAATTTGACGTTTTTGGGTCATGTTTACCCCAAAATCGATGTTTTGGGCGGTTTTGTCCAAAAATCAACATTTTGGGTCAAAATCAATGTTTTGGGTCGTATTTATCAAAAAATTGAGAGTTTGGGTCGTGTTTGCCCCCAAATTAATTTTTGGGTGGTTTTGGCCGAGAAGTTGAGGGTTTTGGGAGGTTTTGGCACAAAATTTGACTTTTTTGCACCATATTTACACTAAAATTGATGTTTTGGGTCATGTTTACCCAAGAATTGACTTTTTTTCCCTCAAAAATCGAAATTTGAGGCCGTTTTTTCTCAAAAATTGATATTTCGGGGTCGTTTTTGCTCAAAAATCATTTTGGGGTTGGTTTTGCCCCAAAATCCATTCTTGGGGCCGTTTTTGCTCCAAAATCTAAGTTTGGCCATTTTTGCCCCAAAATCAACATTTTGGGTAATTTTTGCTCAAAATCAACATTGGGTAATTTTTGCTCAAAAATCCATTTTCAGGGTTGCTTTTGCTCCAAAATCACTATTTTGGTGCAGTTTGTTTCTCAAAAATCGATACTTCGGGATCGTTTTTTTCTCAAAAATCCATATTTTTAGGGGCCGTTTCTCCTCCAAAAAAATCAACTTTTAAAGGTAATTAGTGCTCAAAAATTGACTTTCATGGGTAATTTTCGCCAAAAAATCCATTTTTTGAGGCCGTTTTTTCTCAAAAATCGACATTTTGAGCCATTTTTTCCCCAAAACTGACTTTTGGCGGAGCCTAAACTGGGCGGGGCCTTTAGGCTCCCTTTTGCCCCCGAATCGACACTTTGGGTCATTTCTGCTCGAAGATCGACTTTTTGGGTCCTTTTTGCCCAAATTTTGACTTTTTTGGGGGTCATTTTTGCCAAAGAAAACCCCCGTTTTTTTGAGGTCGTTTTTGCTCCAAAATTGACATTTTGGGGTCGTTTTTTCTCAAAAATGGACATTTTGGGGGATTTTTCACCCCAGACCCATTTTTGGCATCATTTTTGCTCAAAAATTCACTATTTGGGTTCACTTCTGTCCCAAAATCAACATTTTGGGCTGTTCTTGCTCAAAAATCACCATTTTGGGTAATTTTTGCCTCCAAAATCCATGGTTTTTTTGGGCGAATTTTTTCTCCAAAATTGACATTTTTGGGCCATTTCTGCTCCAAAAAAAAATTCAACCTTCACAGGTAATTTTTGCCCAAAAATCAATTTTTTGAGGCCGTTTTTCCTCAGAAACCAACATTTTGGGGCCATTTCTGCTCCAAAAAAATCGACTTTTATGTGTAATTTCTGCTCCCAAAACCCCGACCTTTAATGGTAGTTTTTGCCCCCAAATCATCATTTTGGGGCCGTTTTTCCTCAAAAATCAGCATTTTGGGGCCATTTCTGCTCCAAAAAAAAATCAACTTTTATGGGTAACTTCTGCTCAAAAATCAACGTTTTGGGACCTTTTTTTCTCAAAAATCGACATTTTGGGTAATTTTTTCTCTAAAATTGATCTTTATTGGTAATTTTCTCCCCAAATCCAGGCGCTCCGACGGTGTCCGTGACCCTCCTTCCCCCCTCCTTGGAAGACCTTTATTTATCCCAAAACTCTTCGTTGACCTGCGTGGCCTCCAACCTCAACTCGGCGTCGGGCGTCGAGTTCTCGTGGCGCCGAAGCTCCGGAGCCGCCGCGAATCCGGAGGCGCCGACGACGGAAAAGATGGAAAACGGGTTGTACAGGATGGAATCCAGGCTGAGGGTTTGTGCCGAGGAGTGGAATTCCGGGGAGACTTTCTACTGTGGGGTTCACGTGGAGGATCTGGGAGCGGAGCAGCCGCCGGAGAGGAGCCTCCGCAAGGAGATCGGTGAGAAAAAGGGGGAATTTGGGGAAAAAAGGAGAAAAAATGAGGTTTTTTTAAGGAAAAAATGACAT